GCCATATAAGCAAAGGCTGAAGTTACTGGATATGTTTAATTTGGAACAGAGGAGATTAAGAGGGGAATCATAGAAGATTAGGGTTGGAAGGGACCTCAGGAGGTCATCTAGTCCAACCCTCTGCTCTAAGCAGGACCAACCCCAACTAAATCATCCCAGCCAGGGCTTTGTCAAGCCGGGCCTTAAAAACCTCTAAAGATGGAGATTCCACCACATCCCTAGGTAACCCATTCCAGTGCTTCACCACCCTCCTAGTGAAATAGTGTTTCCTAATATCCAACCTAAACCTCCCCCACTGCAACTTGAGAGCATTGCTCCTTGTTCTGTGATCTGCCACCACTGAGAACAGCTGAGCTCCAGCCTCTTTGGAAACCCCTTCAGGTAGTGATAGCAATCTTCAGATACTTGAAAGGCTGCCATAAAAAAGATGGAGAAAAGTTCTCTCCTGCCACAGAGAGCAGGACAAGAGGCGATGGATTTAAACTACAGCACAGCAGATACAGATTTAATCTCAGGAAAAACTTCCGAACTGTAAGAACAGTAGGACCGTGGAACAGACGCCCTGCGAGGCTTCTTCACTGGAGGCTTTCAAAAGGAGGCTGGACAGCCATGTGTCTGGGATGGTTTAGACACAACAAATCCTGCCTCTTGGCAGGGGGTTAGATTAGATGACCCTTGTGGCCCGTCTAACCCTATGGTTCTATGATTCTATCACACACACACACATACAGAGCAGGTGTCAGCAGTCACACACATACATACACACACAGAGAGAAAAGGTGGCAGCAGTCACACACATACACACACACACACAGAGCAGGTGGCAGCAGTCACACACACACACACACACTCTTACACACAGAGGGCAGTTGGACTCACCCACAATCCTGCAACCAGGTCTCAATCTTGCTGGAGGAGCTTCCTGTTGGAAATACAAAAGTCCATCAGATAAACCAGAGAGAGCCCTTCCCCTCCCCCTTCCCAGCCCAGCACTCCCACCCTGTACCTCTCTGTGCCAACAGCCCCATGACCTCCCCAAGGCCCACCCCAGAACAGTGTGCTCGTTGGGATGAGCAGGGTGGGTGCACCAGCCTGGGGATCTCAGTGGGTTTCCCTGGGAAGTGGGTTCTGCACTGGCTGGGATCTTCACCTCTCGGGCTGAGCACTGAGCATCTTCCTCCTGTAGACAGAGGGTGCCAGACCAAGAGGGAAGGTCCAGTCCCGGCCCTGGCCACTCTGCAGGGAGAGTCTCAGCCCCAGGAACAGGGGCAGGGGTTGGGATTGGGGGCCAGGGCCTCAGGAATGAGCTGTTAGGGTCAGGGAAGCAGCCACAGGGCTGGGCACAAGATCTGCAATGGGGTCATCAGGGTCAGGAGCCAGGGTCATTTGATGGGAAAATTTTCCAGTTACTTGAACTATTTCAGGGATGGTTTTGCAGATCTGAAAAGGTGGCGGGACAGGTGCTGTTCTGCCCAGTGCTCAGGGTGAATGAGAGTGGACGCTGGCCAAGTCCCACCGTGCACTTACCTCTTGGGAAGTACAGCACAGGAGCTAAAGGAAGGACCCGGTTCCCCCAAACACACGCCCCACCCCTGCCCACTTCCCTAGCTGCTCTCCCACCTTCGAGGAAGACATCGTCTAGATGCGGTGGCTGCAGCCCAGACACATCCTGCACGGCCACCGCTGCCTCCTCCTCCAGCACAGTGGTACGCCAGCACCGGCTCTGCCGGACCCACGCTCTGCGCTTCTCCCAGGATGAGGGGCTCAGCACTGATGCAGCCTCCATGGCTCGCAGGGCCACAGGACCTTCTGGGCAGAGCCAAGACCCTGAGAGAAACCAACAGTCAGTCAGTGCATCCACGTCTGAGCTGAGCCACACCTCCTGTGATTTCTGCTGACAGGGCCCAGCTGGGGATTGCCTTCTGCAGCCTGCCAGGGGAGCCATGCCTGCTATGGGCTCCCAGCACCCGGAACCTCTCCCGTTCCCTAGTGCCCAGAACTGCTCCCATTCCCAGCACCCGGAACCTCTCCCATTCCCCAGCATCCAGAACCTCTCCCGTTCCCAGCGCCTGGAACCTCTCCCATTCCCCAGCACCCAGAACCTCTCCCATTCCCAGCACCCACAACCGCTCCCAGTCCCAGCTCCCGGAACCTCTCCCATTCCCAGCACCGAGAACTGCTCCCATTCCCAGCACCCAGAACCTCTCCCATTCCCAGCACCCACAACCGCGCCCAGTCCCAGTTCCCGGAACCTCTCCCATTCCCCAGCGCCCAGAACTGCTTCCGTTCCCAGCACCCAGAACCTCGCCTAGTCCCAGTACTCACAACCACGCCCAGTCCCAGCTCCATTCCCAGTGTGACATTATGCCCCATATTCTTCATAGTAATATTATTATGATATGATTATGGCATAACTATGATGTATTTTATGCATGATAGATCATGTAAGATATCACTGGAAAGGTTATGATTTACTGAATATGATTATGCTTTTTGTATGCATGAATCATTTTGCTATCTGAAGTTAGGAATATTGTCTATGTATCTATTACAAATGTGTGTACACCTGGGGAACGCCCACTAGGCAGAATGCAATCAGTCTAGATGGCTGGCTGGGAAGGGCCATTAGGAAGAACAATAGGTCTTAGAAGATGCTTATCTCCCATCGGGGAGCCTTCCTGGGGATGCTACAAACAGCCTCTGACACATGGCTACTATGCAGTGTTTTCCCCAGGAATTGAAATTAGGGGGGTGTTCGAATTTACGGGGGGGGGGGGGGGGGGGATCAGGGCCAATGAGGGGTGAGACCATGAGGGTGAAGGTGGGCTGTATGGCACCATAGTAAAAACTGAAAACTGTTTCATGGCCATTTTATTAGATTTAACTCATGTTTTGAAATCATCACACAAATTAAAGTTGGCTACTCAAGCATTCTATGAAGTACGACTTCTACGTCCTTCTTGGTTTCTTGTTGTAATTTTGCACAACTCTGTTAATGAACTTCTTGAATGCAACGCGTTCATCTTTGGTGGCTTCTTGTGTGTCCAGTACTTCTATTCCTTCAATTGATATCCTCATTAGTTCATTCACATGATCAGGCAGAAGGCGACTTCTTTCAGAACACAAAATTCTATTCAGTGATGAAAAAGAATGCTCGACTGTAGCTGTTGTGACTGGGAGTAGCGAGAGATGAATTCCTACTTCTTTCATCCCAGGAAACATAGCATAAAGATCAGGTCGAGCCACTAGTGACGATAAAAAAGAAGTTGAAGTCAAATCTTCATTCATTCGTCGTATGATATTCCACTCTGTGTTCAAATTCTCTATTCTGACCTGAGCACGTGGCAGCCCCATTGCTGGTAGTGCCTCACTTCACTCAGCTGTCAGTGTTTTATAGGACAGGGATCTGTAAGAGCTATGTAGAGGTTGAGTAGAATCTAGAAGTCGCTGTTGTAGATTTTTAAGAATAAAGTCTGCATACTTTTTCAGTTGTCTTAAACACTTCTTGTCCTCTTCACTTAAGGATTCAATATAAATGCCTTCATTAGTCAACTTCTGGACTGAAGTCTTTGCTTCTTCCAGTACTTTTTCAATAGATATCTCTGATTGATCCAAATGTAGCTTCTATTGCTGGACAAAGATCTACTACTGTTGTAGCAGATGCCTGGATGGCATTGTTTAATGATCCAAGTGGTTTCAATAGAAGACTTACAAGAAAGAGAATGGCAATAGTCTTCTCTGAACGTAGTAGCAAAAGTAATCCACCAGCCTCGCTACTTAGATCCGTCCCATCTTGGTAGATACTTTCCAAAGCCAGTAATAATGGCTGGAGTAATTTTAAGACAACAGCCAAGGATCGCTCATGAGAAAGCCAGAGGGTTTTCCCAGGTTGGACTAATTTGAACTTCAGTCTCAGTGTATCTTCTATATTTTCCAAGATATTCCGTCTTTTTGGATTCTTGCTGAAAAAAGAATATAATGAAGACATTAAATTTATAGCTTTTTAAATGTCTTTTGAAGAATCTGCAGCTTGTACTAGCACTAGTTGGAGTAGATGGCCCCTGCAGTGTGTATAGGAGAGATTAGGGTTACAATTTTCTCTGAGCAAAGCTTGTACTCCACCATGTCTTCCAGAGAACTTTGCAGCTCCATCAAATGCACAAGCAGCCGTCTGTTTGGGGTCCAATTGACAAGCATTTAACTCTTCTAAGATGCGGGTTGTCACAGATGCAGCCAATGTGTCTTCTATAACTTGAACATCTAGAAATGCATCTACTGGCCTACAACTGACATCAAGATAACGTACACAATGACTTAATACTTGCCCATTTGCATCGGTCCGTTCATCAGCCATGTATGCAAATTTTTTGAATGTGGTGAGAGACTTCTTCACTTTTTCAACTGTTGAGTCTTTCGCTGTTGCACCATATGCTTCTAGCCAGTCAGTTGAGTTTCTTGCAGAAAGATAGTGAGCATTTGCTGGTCTTGTTCAGAACCAGTGTTCAACTTCAGGATGAACAAGTGACAATGCACTTAACATTGGCCTCCAGTTTATAGGGTGTGGTATCTCTTGCTTAAATAGAAAGTATGATGCCACAACCATGTTTGTTCACATGTCTCTTGAGGTTCCACCCAGCTCACAGTGATTTCAGCTGAGCTCTCAGTGGGGGAACCTTGCTGCTAGTGCAGACTGGGCCCTCTCTTCCACTTAGACCTGATTATCAGTGAATTCAGCTGTAGTGGTCACTTAACAAAACAAAAGACTATCTATGGAGCCTAATCAGCTCTGTCTTTAAACAGTGGAGAGGGGCAGGTCAAATAGTACTTGTGACTCAGGCAGACCATCAAGTAAAACACCTGTCCCCACCCTCTCTCTTGATGCCCTCAGTCAGCACAAGCGAAGTACAGTTCTACTGCCCTTTACTCATACAATAAGAATAACAACATTTCATTCTCCCCCTCCCCCCACAGCGGCGGTATTGGCAGCCTCGGGGCTCGTAGCGCGGCCTCCGCCTCCCGCCGCCATGGGCCTCACGGTCTCCGCCATCTTCTCTCGGATCTTCGGCAAGAAGCAGATGCAGATTCTCAAGGTCGGCTTGGACGCTGCTGGTTAAACCACCATCCTGTACAAGCTAAAGCTGGGCGAGATCGTCACCACCATCCCCATCATCGGATTCAATGTTGAGACAGTGGAATACAAGAACATCTGCTTCACCGTCTGGGATGTAGGTGGCCAGGACAAAATCCGACCCCTGTGGAGACATTACTTCCAGAACACACAGGGCCTCATATTTGTTGTGGACAGCAATGACCGAGAGAGAGAGCAGGAGTCTGCAGATGAGCTACAGAAAATGCTGCAGGAGGACAAGCTGCGGGATGCAGTCTTGCTGGTGTTTGCTAACAAGCAGGACATACCCAATGCCATGGCAGTGAGCGAGCTGACCGACAAGCTGGGCCTGCAGACGCTCCGCAGCAGAACCTGGTATGTGCCAGCAATGTGTGCAACCCAAGGCACTGGTCTCTATGATGGACTGGACTGGCTATCACACGAGCTCTCCAAGCGCTAGAACTTGAACCTTGAGGACTCTTCAGCCAGCTCCACTAGCCGTGCTCCTGCCTTCTGCTGCCCAGACGGCACTTTCATGCTAACCATCCTACTCAACTGAATGTGTTCTTATTAAGTGGAGCCTGTCCCATGTTCCAGCGGGGCCTGTTGGAAAGAAGGGAGGGAAGTGGTGGGGGCCGGGTGTGTCTAAGCACTGAGCGGGTGGCGGTGTTCCAGTTATCTCCATTGGCAGCTTGTGGGGAAAGCCGTAGGTAACTGCTTCGACCGTCACAACACTGCAGAACAGAACCGTTTCTCCTTTTTATCCTTCCACAAACTTATAATTGTTTCTCTTGGGGAGGGTGGGTGGGGCTGGGCTGGGCTGGGACTCTGGCTGTGTAATGTGCTATTGTATATTTAGTAATAAAACTCCACCAGTTTGTATAAAAAAAAATGGGGAGGGAGGGATAGCTCAGTGGTTTGAGTATTGGCCTGCTAAACGCAGAGTTGTGAGTTCAATCCTTAAAGGGGCCATTTTGGGAACTGGGGTAAAAAAAAAAATCTGGGGGTTTGAGTAGGGGGTTGGACTAGATGATCTCCTGAGGCCCCTTCCAACCCTGATATTCTATGATTCAAATGATTTATAACCCAACCCCAGCCAAAATCTATCACTTGGGCAACACAGCTCTGTTTGCTGGATACCTAGGTAGATTAGGTGTGAATGTAAATACAATCTGGTCCTGAAGCCTTTCCCCCCAGCTCATCACTAGCTGTCAGGGAGAGCTCATTTAAACTTTGCTTACAAATCATAATTTGGCCAACATCACCGAAATGAATGCACTGACATCATAAAAACAAAAGCTGTATAAGGAAGCTAGTCTATATTCATACTTTTCAAATCTATTATACTTTTTCAGATACATATATTTTATCATACACTTTATATGCTGTTAAAGTATGTATTAATGTTTCAATTTCAATTCAAATTTCCAAACAATCACTAAATTGGCAACACTGCATGTAACTAATACACAAAACTGGGGGGGGGATGTTGGGGAAATTCAGAAGGGGTGTAGGGGGGGTGTAGGGAAATCCTTGCTGCTATGACCCTACAGAGACATGTGACCAAGTTGCCTGGTACTGGCTCCATCATAGAATACTAGTGTTTTTCCACTGAAAGGTGTGGGAACTAAAGTTGGAGACAAAGGGTTCCCGCCATATGCAAAAGCTATTTAAGGCAGGGGAGTGACATCATCATGTTTCTTCACTGACTTCCCTCCCAAAGGAGACTCTTGGAAACACCTGAGGAACAGGGACTGAACTGGGGGAAAAGGACTGAACCCAGGCTAGAGGGATTTCTAGACTGTGAAAGAAATACCTGGGGGTTTAAGCTGCAAGTGCAGCTTTCCCTCAAGAGCTTCTGCAAACTGCCTAAACCAACAATTAGGGTGAGAATTTGCTACTCATATCCAATTTCTTTAGTATATTAAGCTTAGATTGCATTTTTGCTTTATTTGCTAGGTGATCTGCTTTGATCTGTTTGCTATCCCTTACAATCACTTAAAATCTATCTTTTGTAGTTAATAAATTTATTTTTCCTTTGTCTAAAACCAGTGTGTGTGTGTGAGTCATTGCTTGGAACAGAAAGCTGTGTATATCCCTCTCCACATTGAGGGAGGGGGCAAATTTTATGAGCTTACACTGTACAGTTACCTGTGCAGCGCAAGATGGTATAATTTTGGGTTTACCCTTCAAAGTGGGGTGTGCACTTGAGTAACTGAGCAGTTCCTTAGCTGAGCCTTCCCACGCTGAGCTGATCTCAGCATCTGTGTGTACCTGCAGTTGGGAGTATCCCTACCTGTATGTGTGCTGGAGGGGGCTTGAGGACCTGTCACTGAAGCACAGTGTAAAGGAAGCACAGGCTGGTGGGCCAGTCAGGCTCAGTGGTACCTCAGTTCCAGGTGGCACCCCAGGGAGAATCCATCACACCCAGCACCCAGAACCAGTCCCGTTCCCAGCACCCGGAACCTCTCCTGTTCCCAACACCCAGAACCTCTCCCGTTACCAGTACCCAGAACCGCTCCCATTACCAGTGCCCAGAACTGAGAAAGTTAAGAGTGAGTTGATCAGAGTCTGTAAGTACCTAAATGGGGAACAAATATTTCTGAATGGGCTCTTCTATCTAGCAATAAAAGGTCTATAAGGTGGATAGACCTTTAAGGTGGATAAAGGTCTATAAGGTGAAAAGACCTTTAAGGTGGATAAAAGTCTATAAGGTGGAAAGGTCTATAAGGTGGATAGAAAAGTGGCTAGATTCTCGGGCTCAACAGGTAGTGATCAATGGCTCGATGTCTAGTTGGCAGCCGGTATCAAGTGGAGTGTCCCAGGGGTCGGTCCTGGGGCCAGTTTTGCTCAACATCTTTATTAATGATCTGGATGATGGGATGAATTGAACCCTCAGCAAGTTTGCAGATGACACTAAGCTGGGGGGAGGTAGATATGCTGGAGGGTAGGGATAGGGTCCAGAGTGACCTAGACAAATTGGAGGATTGGGCCAAAAGAAATCTGATGAGGTTCAGTAAGGACAAGTGCAGAGTCCTGCACTTAGGAAGGAAGAATCCCATGCACTGCTACAGGCTGGGGACTGACTGGCTAAGCAACCGTTCTGCAGAAAAGGACCCAGGGATTACAGTGGATTAGAAATTGGATATGACTCAGCAGTGTGCCCTCGTTGTCAAGAAGGTCAACGGCATATTGGGCTGTATTAGTAGAAGCATTGCCAGAGATCGCGGGAAGTAATTATTCCCCTCTATTTGGCACTGGTGAGGCCACATCTGGAGTATTGTGTCCAGTTTTGGGCCCCCACTACAGCAGGGATGTGGACAAATTGGAGAGAGTCCAGCGGAGGGCAACAAAAATTATTAGGGGGCTGGGGCACATGACTTACGAGGAGAGGCTGAGGGAACTGGGGTTATTTAGTCTGCAGAAGAGAAGAGTGAGGGGGGATTTGATAGCAGCCTTCAATGACCTGAAGGGGGGTTCCAAAGAGGATGGAGCTCAGCTGTTCTCAGTGGTGGCAGACGACAGAACAAGGGGCAATGGTCTCAAGTTGCAGTGGGGGAAGTCTAAGGTGAATATTAGGAAACACTATTTCACTAGGACGGTGGTAAAGCACTGGAATGGGTTACCTAGGGAGGTGGTGGAATCTCCATCCTTAGAGGTTTTTAAAGCCTGGTTTGACAAAGCCCTGGCTGGGATGATTTAGTTGGGGTTGGTCCTGCTTTGAGCAGGAGATTGGACTAGATGACCTCCTGAGGTCTCTTCCAACCCTAATATTCTACGATTCTATGATTCTAACATGATCCCTGCTGAATGTTGAAGCTAAACAAATTCAGACTGGGAATAGTTTACCAAGGGCCATGGTGGATTCTCCCTCACTAGCAATTTTAGACTGGATTTATCTTATGCTCTAGTTCAAACAGGAACTATTTAGGGGCAGGTCTCTGGCCTATGTTGCACAGGAGGTCAGCCTTGATGATCACAGTGGGCCCTTCTGGCCTTGGAATCTATGACTGTATGAATTGCTGCCCTTCCCAGCGCCCAGAGTGATTCCCAGGGTGTGTCTATATGGGAAGAGGGGTGTGTTCCGAATTCGAATTAGCCAGCACAGGGCACATAACAGTGAAGACAGGGCAACTTAGCTTTAACTCAGGTGAGGCACGTTTGTCAGGGGATCTTTTTATAAACTTTTCTTCATCTCTTCGTGGGCTCTGTGGGCTCCTTCCCCCTTACCCCCAGCTCATGCCATCTGTGAGCGAGTGGGCGGGATGAGCCCTGATTTGGACACATCAGAAATTCTACGAAATTGGGGCCCTGGCATGAGGTTCTGCTGTGCAGCCAGATAGCTGGGGTAACTGTCAGGCACCGTGGCCTGGCAGCACAAAGCAATGAAATTAATAGGCAGCATTTCCTGGGTGCTGCACAGGCTGTCTGCAGTGAGCGGATCCAGCTCCGGGACAAGTGAAGAACCCAGAGTCTGGCTGGCGAGGAAACGCTGAGGAACCTTCCCTTCCCTGAGCTCTTCCCAGCAACAATGACCAGATCGGGTTTTTTTTTTTTTTTTTGCCACTTGGAGCAGCAAAAACGCTGGAGCCGGCCCTGGGTCTCACCCATATGACCAACCACCTGCCATTAAATCAGAAGCCTGATCCATGAGTTTTCATCCCATGGCAGGTGAGAGTTGGCTCCTGGCTGGCTCAGAGCTAGGGCCAGAGGGTGCAGCCGGCGAGAACTGACCACAGGGCTCCGTGCAGCTCCATTAGCAATGGTCCTGCTGGCAGCTCCAGCTCCCGCTCTCACCAACAGAGCTAAGGGAGAGGGGAACCCTAGGCTGAGATTGCAGGGCTTGGGTCAGGACTGAGGGGCACTGGCAGAGCTGTTTGTGGGGACCCCAGAGCTGGAGCACTGAGCAATCTGAGGGTCTCATTCTCTTGCCATGGCCCTACCCGGGTAGTTGGGCTGGGCATTGGGAAGGTGCCACCCCAGGCTGCAGAGTTCCCAGAGGTGCTATTACAGCCTATAATGTGTCCAGTGCAGGGTAGAAAAAGGGAAGGTGTGAACCCTCAGCCCCTCCCTGCTCCACCCCCCACCCAGCCCCCCTATGCTGCTCCACAGGGAGCCCACACAGAATGGGGCACTGTTCCATGCAGAGGGTACACTGCCTACCCCTCACCCCTCCGCTGCCACAGCCTGTCCTTGCCCTGGCTGATTCTCCAGCCAGCAACCCGCCATGGGCAGAACGCACCCCTGTGCAGGACAGTGCGTTAGGACATGACAGAAATTCCAGGAAATTGGGGCCTGCCCAGGCATGCGGTTCTGCTGTGCAGCCAGATAGCTGGGGTACTGGCAGGCAGCACCTCAGCCTGGCCAGCGGCAGCACCGTGGCCTGGTATGCAAAGCACAGGCTGTCGCACCTCTGGGGCGTTGCAAATTAGAGTCCTGGGTACTGCACAGGACAGCAGG